ATACTGCCTGTCCCCATAGATTTGCTTATTTGGACGTATAAATAGAACCATATGTGGTCTTTTCTAACTGACTTCTTTCACTTTGACATGTTTTTACGGTTCATCCACATTGTGGCATACTCATATACCAGTCCTTCATTGATTATTATGGTCAAATATTTTATTGTGTGGATACATCACATTTTGTTATCAGCTGTTGGACATTTGTATTATTTCCAGCTTTTGACTGTTATTGACAATGTGATAGAAGCATTTGTGTAACAAGATACAACCTGTAAATAAAGATCTAAATCTATGTGATAAACAGAAACTAACTGCCTTACAGATGGACTGTTCAAAACTATATGAAATTTTAATACGTGAAATCAATTGAGTTAAGTTAAAATTGAGAACCAGAAGCCTAGTAGGCTATACAAGTACTCTTATAACTTGATACTTATACAAACAGAGTTGGATATAAGGTAATTTTATGGAACACATAATTGTTGATAATTGCTGCATAGAATGGATGGAAAATAAACTGTCAACAGGAAATAAAATGAACAAAGCATTGGAACACAGAGCTGGCTGATGAGAGTGGCTGCTTTCTCTGCTTGTTGGCTCACTTTGTTTGCCCTGGCATTATTTTATTCTTTCGTTTAGTCTTGGAGGTTATTACCTGGGCTGTTCTCAAAATATAAGATAAAGCTGAAGATTAAGAAAGAAGAGATCATGCTGAATGTATAGCCAGAAAAACAAAGAAGCAACATTAAAGTTCTGACGTATTTTATTTTTTTAAAAAGAAACATTTGTGTACATGTTTTTTTGTGAACATATGTTTTCATTTCTCTTGGGTTTTGTCTAAGGAGAATTGCTTACTCGACAGAAACTGATGAATGGGAACTTTGTTCAATCAGTCGAGGAGCTGCTAGACTGTTTTCCAAAGTGGCTGCACCATTTTATATGCCCCCTGGGAGTGGATGAGGGTTTTGATTTCTCAGTGTCCTCAAACAGTGCTCATCTGACATTTAGATTTTAGCTACCTGTGGAAGAAGCTGAGGCTATCTGCTCCCTTGAAGAGTTAGAGCCTCAGAGGCCCTAGCTAGGGTTACTATGAGTTGAAATGGGCTGGATACCAGTAGTTGTGTTTTTTTTTAATTGGGTGTGAAGTGAGATCTCACTGTGATTTTCAT